TCACTCTCTCCCCCTATCACTCTCTTCCACCCCGTATCACCTCTATCATCATTATCAGATTAATCAGAGTCATACAGACTGCAGAGCCAGCTGTTCAATCCCATCTGAATTCAAAGAGATGCACATGACATCACATGAGATCATGTTACAGAGAATTTAGCAGTGCATGCCATGAACACAGAGATTAAAAATGAATATAGAGAAAAGTATAAGGAATGTAAATACTATAGAGAATATATGAAAAGAGCAGAATGAAAAAAAGAAGGAAGATTTGAAGATTGATCTGAGCTGTATGAGTCAGAGCATTCAAATATTTTTGATGGGTGTGCACATGGAAAAGTTGGTTTTTCTATACTAATAAAGAGAGAGACTAACTTAACCTTGGAAGCCATCAGCCATGCCTGCCTTGTTCTTCCGACGCCTGTTGTTTCTTGTTTCAAGTTGGAGCCGGCAACTTTCCAGATCCGTAATCCACATCTTGAAGCGGAATGGAGGGCCAGGACGCTGGGCCAGATGCGGTTAGTGTCCACCTGATAATCACGTGGAGTGTTTGTGATTGGCAGATCCCCTCGGCTATCCGTGTCTGCCAAGCCCTGTTCCTGGACCAGATGGCCAATAAGGGAAGGCGACACAACCGGCGCTATACCTGAGCGGTACTAGGGCGTTCACCTTGTGTCCCCTAGCCCGCGAGTCTCATCTCGTCTCGCCCGGAACAGTGCTGGACAGCAGACAACGTGACCGGACTAGCTGGATTCATCGACACCTCGCTCAGACCTTCATTTCACCTTCATCTCACCAACCTCCCTCCCTCCTCAACCTCGCTGGTCCTTTTTCCTTCTCCTACTCTTCTTCTTCTTCTTCTTCTTCTTCTTCTTCTTCTTCTTCATCCGCTCTCTATCGTCTTCCCACTTGGGAACTTCCACTCCTTTGGTCTGCTGCTATTGTCGTCATTGTCGTTTTTGGCGCTTATTATGCCCTCCACGCCGCTCCTTTGACCACCGTCCACCACCCAACATTGCCCAACTCCCTATCGTTCGTTTGCTCTGTTCTGGTCGCCGTGGCTGCGTCTCGTCCTACTTATTGCTCTTCGTAATCGACAAACAATCCTTCCAATATTCCCCCCCCCTCCCCAACCCCGCCGCCCGTGTTACCTTCTTCTACTGCAAGGTTGCTTTGCTTATGTGAACGTGACACTGGCAGGCATGGGATAAGCCGCTCCTTTTGGGTCACAATAATATATCAGTCAGACAGCCGCGTTGATTCGGGGCTTCTATTCCAGTCTTGAAGAAGAAGGAAATAGGACTGATCTGATTCCTTTCACAAGGGAAAAAAAAAAAAAAATCTATTCTCTTCCATATTTATAACTCGTCTCTCGAAAGAGAGAATACCGAGTTATGCATGGTCACAATCACTTCCATAGAAGGGCTCATCCTCCTCCCACCGCCGTTGTCGCGCCTACCTTGCTCCTGAAAAGGGCTCCCGCAGCAGATTCCACCTCGGCCGCAGCCACACCCATAAAATCATGTGGCCCCGATGACACCACAGGAGTGTGCGAGAGACCCTCCAGCCTATCTTCCACCACACTCCCCATCGTTCTAGGAGTGGTGTATGTTCCCTTGTGTTTTTTTTTTTTTTTTTCTCTTAAAAAAAACTGAAAAAAAGAACCTTCCAACTTTTTCAGGGGAATTTATAAGAGTTAGAGGAAGAACCACAGCTAATTGTGACGTATAGTATCCCCCTTGTCACTGCGATTGTCGTACTCCTCATTTTGCACCGTCGCCATGTTAGAAAGTTACGATTTGAAGATGCCAATGATAAACACAAATCTCTAGATTTCGGTTTGGATATTGTCCCCTCGGGCAACAAAAAGGGTCGGCATGGTCGGAAGGGTGGAATGGAAATGACCACCACTGACACGGCGGAAAAGCCTACTGGAAGGAATCGTGGTCTTTCTTTAGATATCACCATGACCAGTCCGTATCTCCTCCCTCCAGGTCTCAATGGCTCCCAGGACTCGCTACACTCCTTGTCAAGAGCTGCTCATGCAGATGATGACAAATACCGCACTGCGGCAGCCTTTTCCCCCAGCGACAATGGATCTATGCGGTCATTTCCCGGCCACTTTAGGCCGTTCCCTGATGATTCTTCCAGTTTTACCGGCATGAGTACTCGACATGCTCCAGCCGGTGATGAGATGCATGCTAATCTCCTCACAAATGCACAGCGCATGTCCAGAGCGAGTCCTCCTCATCATGGAAATGACACTCATTCTATAGGGTCAAACAAGAGCCACAGGAGCCCTCCACGCAAGCCAGCAACACCCACCCCTAATATCGTATCCGATCGATCTGGCATCCATTCTCCGGACCGCTCACTTGTGCCCCAAACTACACTCACACCTGGAAGCGAGCTCAGGAAGAGTAATGATTACCTGGGTGCTCTCATCCAACGAGGTACCGCTCCAGTGTCCGGTGACCATAGCGAACCCCCTCCACCACAAGGCCAAGCCGTTTCTCAGAATACTCAAGCCGATGAATTGCATCTGACGACAATGCCTGCGGCTTCTGCACCTTCATTTGTTCTCCCAGCTCCTGACAATGACCAGCCCGAATCAAGTTCCCACCGGCAGTCGCAGTCGCACTCTCACGCCCCGACCTCGGTTCCGACTCCGGCTCCGGCCCCAACCTCAGCCCAAGCATTGCCTCGCATTTCTCTTCCATCAGATGATGACGAAAGCGACTATGGGGATGACAAAAGAAACTCAACCCTAGTTCTCCCGCAGGTGAACATTGACGCCCCAGAACCGAACACCCCTCAACCAGGCGAGAAAGCACGTCTATCTACTATGTACGGTCTCCCAGATGACCAAGGGTACAAGTTCGACACCCGACGTCTGACAGTCGGCATCCGCCCGCTGCCACCAGAAGACCCATCTGACAACCCTGAACAACGGGCCAATCGCATCCGATCCTTCTACAAGGAGTATTTTGACGAGAGCAACAAACCTGCTGCTCCGCAAGAGGAATATTACGAAGACTACGGCCAGGATGACTATCACGAAGACATGCCGTACGATCCAGGCTACCACCCTGACCCCTACAACTACGGAGGCGGCGGTGATGATATGGGTTTCTACCCTCCAGAACCAGCCCCGTTCGCCCAGCCCGTCGGTCGCCGCGCCATGACCCCACCGCCCCGAATGCCGCCAAATTTCTACGCCCAGCCACCGCGCCACCAAGGCGCCTCGTCCGCCTTTGGCTATGCAGCAAGCCACAGGACATTCTCCTCAACCTCCGGTGACCCAGGCCCTCGTGCGTTCTCATCGATATCTAACCGGGGACCGCCAATGCCCCGGAAACCTCAACTGCCGCCACCAGGTCCCCTCCACATCCTCCCCAGCGCGCACAAGCTCAAGGATGACACCATGATTCTTCCCATCGATTTCGCTCCTGGTCCCACCGTCAAAGAACGTAAAGCAGGTCGTTCTGAGACGCGTCAGGGAGGCCTACGACCTTATGTCCCCGTGCGCCCGGCACATATCCCCTTGGCGTCTTCATATGATGATCTCGCAGCCGTGCCTAGTCCGTAAGTAATCCTTCGTCTCATCAAGAAGCACTAATGTATATGTATACTAACATTTCGCCCAGTCATGCGCTCCGCAAATCCGGCACCTACACTGCCCTCGACTTCGCACCACCCCCTCGCTTCAGAAATGCCGAAACAGCCAGTGACTCAGGGAGCATCCGCAGCAACCGCACCGGCGTCTCCGCAGCACATGCGTATAATATCCGCGCTGGTGGGTATCGGGTTAGTCGTCTGCCGCCTGAAGCTGTCGGGACGGTGCAAGATATTACGTCAAATTTGAAGCCCACGTGGGATATGAAGACGTAGGAGTTTTAATTTTTAATTTTTGGTTTGGGTTTTTTTTTTTTTTTTTTTTTTCTTAAATGGGTTTGATATTTCGGAAACCCTTTCGCATTTCCTTTGCCGACAATTTCAAATTTATTTATCGTGCTTCTTGCTTCATTTATGTTTGGTGCGGGGGTTGGGTGTCCCGTGCTTCGCTTCCTTCATTTCCTAATTTGAACCGTGGTTGCCTGGGCCTGGTTTCTATATATTCGTGGGCCCTATGGAAAGTGGTATAGGTGAGGGCTCGAGGCCGAAATGGTGAAGGCTGTGGGTAACGGGGGGGGGGGGGGGGGTTGAATATACGTTTCCGTATGTGTGTGGGTGTGAGGGCCGGGGCGCGTGTGTAATGATCTAATCTTAACTAGAAACATATCTTCTTTTCACATACTTCTTGCTTTATCGTTTATATGTCTTATTTGATGCTGTGGGCCGGATCCATAGTGATGGGTGAGAGGCGGAAGGCAGAAGGGAGGGGGGGGACACTTCATTCATTTTTTCTAACTTCCACTGCCATTGCCACCCACTATCCTATCCATCCAGCAAATTGTCTGTCTAATTGTCGTGTGGTCGGGGGATATGGGAAATTGACAAAAATAAACAAAAAGGAGGAAAGGAGGAATAAACAGGACTGGAAATAGGGGGGAAATGGTTATTTTTTCTTCTCTGATTTTTCCAATGTTTTTATCCCGCTCATTTAGTTACATATAACTAGAGGCTGACTATGTCTAATGACTTTTATATCTACTAGAGAAAATAACAAGATGATTAATCTATTTTTATTTTATCTACCCCATAATATATAATATGGATATATTCCAATCCACTGCATAAAAACATGACAATAATAACAATGGGGAAAAAACAAATGTGTTTGAGTCCACAGATTGATATAGTGTGAGTGTGAAGTGTTATATGCAGCTGAAATGATTGCTGCTGATGAGCATCATCATCATCTCTCTGTCTCCCTTCTCTAGAGCTAGCTAGATAATTCATAAAGTCTACAGTTACAAATACATACAATACAATCAGTTACATATCAGAAAATATTACATCTCTCAGTGACTTGAAATGATCTCAGTGAGCTTTAAATCACATCAGGGTTTGATACATTCATTATTATTTACAGAAAGTGGTCTCTCCATGGGATCTTAGCAGACATTATGTAACTACACAGGTCATTCTTGAAATAACGAACAAGGATGTGCATACTGATATACATAGTTACACTGAATGATTTTCACTCCTCTGACTGTCTACTATCTAGATAACTTATGATATGTTTCTTTTTCTCTTTTACATTAACATTGACAGGGAATGAATGGGTGTAAGAAACTGAACACAAACACAAACCCAGCTCAGCAGACAGATTATTTACATCATCTATCTCACTTTTTATGATTAACTAACCAACACATGCAAAACTGTAGAGTTACTTACACACGCACCTGGCTAGTTTTCATCCTAGGGTTAGAGGGGAAGAAAAAGAAAAAAGTCAATTGTTTTCAAAAAGCCGCGTCGGGCTCCATTCTTTCATCGGGAATCAAACCTCGTTTAAATCATGACGGGTAGTGAAATTGTATCGAACGTGCTCGCGGTCCCGGGGGTGATGTTTTCTTTCGTACGACGCTATGCTATCATGGACTGATATTGGAACTATTACGATATATTATACCAGACAGATACTATAAACAAACATATATGCGATTGATGAGAATTATACAAGAGACTTGGGGGAACGGGAGTGCCCGGTGCGGTATTTTGAATACATATAGAGATGAGTGTAAAAACCGAATCAAATCATTACTATTTAAATAATGGGAATATACTCGTAGATACAAAAAATATATATATATATATATATATATATATATATATATCAATGGAGAGGCAAACACAAAGCAAAGACGGGGCCAGGTATTAAGATGGGACGAGACGAGGTGATACATGTTAAAACATGAGAGGGGAAATGCGGTGGATGACTTTTGGAAGAGAAGATTGAAAGAGGCATAGTAGAACGGTTCCGATTGTGATGGTGATGACGGCGTATGAGGGCAAAAGGAAATAAAAAGGGTTGGAAGTAATAAATTGTGTGTTGGATATAGATAGGTACAGTTATATTTAAAAAGAAATTAGGAGCAGCCAGGCCGAACAAAAGAAGGGAGATAGATAATTGGGGGGAAAATATATATATAAAATTCTGTAGATGAGAAGGATATGTAGCAAAAAGGTAAACGAGATACGCGAGAGGAAAAGAAGGGTCCAGGTACTATGGGTTTGGTATACTTGCTTTTGAAGAGGTTTAGAGGCGGTATCAATCGATTAAGGATGGATATCGGTATGTCATGCAAAGAGGTGCCTATTAATTGGCCTTTTTTTTTTTTTTTTTTTGGTTTTTTTTGTTCCTCTGAGGCGGGGAAGTTGGGTATTCGTTTCGACTTAGTTTTGCAATCATGCGGCTACTTTCGAGGCTTTTTCGCTGAAGAAAAGGTAAAAGCCTCAGACCTAATTAGAATGGGGGAAGGCGTTCGTTCATATTGACCTAGGCCAGAGACGGACCGGGAAAGGAAGGTAAGGGAAAAAAGTAAGTGGCGGCGGAAATGATCTACTCTCCAGACCAGGTGGATAATGTGTTCCAAGTAGGATGGTAAATAGAAAAAGCAAAATCAAACGGGGAGGGACTAGCAGAATGGACTACAATGTAAAAATAAAGAAGAAAAACACGGCTAAACGCAAGGAAAGACAGTTGAAAGGCAGGAACCGAGAAGCCCCTAAAAGTTCTGCGCTATTCCCGCATTCCCTTGTTGCGGAAATACAGATGGATTTTCGATTCGCGTATTCCGTCTCGCTTGTACGTCGCGGATCACAGGTGGTGCGCCATAAGGGTTGTCCACGAAAGGACCTCCAGGTTGCCCGGCTCCGTCGGTGTAGTACGGGTCATCATAATATTGCGCCGTACCGGGTGCGACACCGGGCACGGGAATATCGTCCGATATGTCCGAACGGTTTGCATTGGAATAAGCGGATGAAGCATTTGATGGACCGCGATGGACAATATCATGAGAGTTGGCATTGTGGCCTAGCATACCCGCAGCAACAGGGTCGAGTCCTGAATAGTCACCAGATATTGGCCTTTGGTCGTCCTCGTAGGGTATAGAGTCGTCCACAGGAGATACTGCTCTCGGAGGGCCTGGGTTGCTGCCATTATCAGAGGCGGGTATTCCAGCGCCGCTTGATAGATTGGTTGACAGCTTCCGTGAGGTAGAGGTGGTTGTGCCCCAACCGCGATATCCTCCGGTATTCCCATCTTTCAGGCCGTTACCGTCATCAAAATTACCCACGGCGGGCAAGAGCGGGTCATTGTTGGGGTTGAATCGATACTCTTCAATTTCCTGCTTCCGTTCCTCTTCAGCCATTTTTCTAGCTTTCCGTTTCCTCCACCACCATAGTAGGACAAGGATGATCAAGGTCACCGAAGAGATAGGAACGATAACGGCAAGAGCGATGGTGGCACTAGTAGAAAGGCTACCTGAGCCTGAATTGCTAGGGCGTGGATGAGGACCCACTGACGGTAGTCCAGAGTTAGTTGAATTGGGAGCCTCAGTGCCAGCTGGTGGTGCATTTGAAGCGGTGGACGTGATTGTTACAGTTGAACGGTTTCCCGGATTTGTGGTCGGTGCAGGTGGGGGTGGTGATGGCGTCTCCGGGGGAGGAGTAGTCGCAGGGGGAGGGGGTCCGGGAGAGGGAGGTCTCGGAGTACTTGAGGTGGTGGGCCGTGGAGGCTGAGGCTGTGAAGGTTCTGGGGGCGGGGGCGGGGGCGGGGGCCGGGGGTTCGGGGGCGGTACGGTTGGAGATGGGGGTGACGGTGTAGTGGGCGGTGGCGGCTGTGTCGGCTCTGATGGCGGTTGAGTTGGCTCATTAGAAGGAGAGTCGGGAAGAGAAGGACTTGGGTTCCCCCCGGTTGGATCTATAAAGAAGGGTAGGTAGGTTAGCATGGGGAGATGTATGGTTCCCGTTGCGAGATAAACGAAATGCCTATTGTACATACCTGGTGGATTCCCGCTGGACATTGTCACAAAAAAATATTGGTCTCAAGGACAGACAGATCTAAGGTCAAGGGTTATTTTATAGATCCTTGATTTCTCCTTTGATCGTGTTTCAAGGAGGGGCGATTGTTCGCTTGACTTGACCCAAAGGCAATTAATAGGTCTTTATCCGCGCGGAGAATTTGAAAGAACAATCAAAACCTCCAAGGATGAAGCAAAGAAAGCCCCCAAGATCAAAAAGTCGTGCAGAGAAACGGATCGGCAAACAGATGGATCTCTCCTTGGCTTATCATTCGACTAGATGTGTGGCTATTGTGTGCGCGTATGTAAAATATATCGCGAAAGTAGCCCTTTGGGGAAGAAAATAGAAAATAGAAAATAGAAAAAAGAAAAGGGAAGAAAAAAGCAATTAAAGTGTAGCAGCGGCTAGTCAGGATATCAGACCGAATAGCAAATGAAGCGAGTGTAATTGTTTTAGACGGCGACAGGGGTTGTGCAACGGCGAAGCGTCAGATTAAGACTTATTTGGTTGTTGATATTGCCTTGGTTCGGGAACGGCAAATATATAAAACATGTCATATATACTGTATAGATATATATATATATAATGTAGAGGAGAACAGATACGGCTAGATGTAGAGGACGAAAGGAAGGAGATTGGCGGGCGCCGGTATATGGGATGTTGACGTGGCTCCAAGTTACGACGTAGTGTCTAGCAGACAGGAATGGATGGGGATTTGTAGGTCGCAGACGGAGGTGAAGGAGGTATAATTATTTGGCTGTCAAGTGCCTTGACTTTGTGCGACTAGGGAACTCGAACTCGAGAGCAGGAACACGGGCAGACGGGAGGGCTAGATTGGGACCATCCCGACGTATTTGGGGTGAAGGGAGCTTCGGAGGTAATGATGATGGTGGTGGTGGGAGGTGGGAATGGCGTTGACGATGGCGTTGACGATGGAGTTGGAGATAGGACAGGATGGAGAGAGAGAGAGAGGATGGAGAGAGGATCAAGAGAGGAGGAGGAGGGGGGAGAGAGAGAGAGGACAGAGGTTGAGGTTGAAAGGTTGGAGGTTGGAGGTTGGAGGTTGGAGGTTGGAGGTTGGAGGTTTGGACAAGGCGGGCAGAGGCTGAGGCCAAGATGGCACAACACAACGGAGCCAAAGAGCCGCCAAGCAACATGGAAAAGGAAAAGAGGCGAGGACACGTACGTCATGTATGGTCACCGCCGCACCGCGTCGGTGAGACAGGGCGGTGCACCTGGTATCTGGCGCGTAACACGGTGTAATGGGGCGTATCGGATACCGTGAGGCTCGTGTTGGTGGCTTTGGGGGCTGGGCGCTAAAGAGGCTAAGCAGGAGGCTAAGGAGGCTAAGGAGGCTAGAGAGGCGCTAGAGTGGGCGCAGGAAGAGAGACATTATTATTATTATCATCAGCAACTCCACAGCAGAAATTTTTGGGATGGCAGGATGATTATATACTCTCTACTTTGCTCTGTACCTACCTACCCTACCTGCGTGGATGAATACAGCTCACCTCTCTCTGTTGCTGTTGACAAAACCAGCAGTTTGTTGGCGTCTGCATTCTGTATCAGCGTTTATTATTTCACTGCTTGTACGCTTGTATGTTGAGGTGGTATGTGGTTCCAGTGGTTTGGTACAGGAATAAGTAACTTATTAATAATAATAATAATAGGAAATGATTTGATAGATAACTACATAATACCAAAATAAAATTGAAATAACAGAAAGCAAGGAAAAATAACAAACGTCTTTCCCCTTCTCTACTCATGGACTGCCCCCCAACTCAATCCTCAATCAGGTACAGGCGGCGTAGCAAATGTTCTGCAGCGAGCTGAGTCAGCCCAATTGCCTTCGCGTGCTGAGTAATCACGC